AATTTCTTAGCTTTGTTTTCCCTGCGAAATGGTGTGGATCCAGCACTATTTCTCCACCTTGTTACGTACTAGGCCATTTTTTAGTGTTCTTTTTTTCTTGCATGTTTATAGAAATAGTTTATTTCCTTGAGTTTAAGAGGATGGGCGCAAGTACGAGTTTAAGTGGTTTATGGAAAACTCTCATACTTCAAAAAGTCTATTTTGGTTAAAACAGTGAATTTTGGCATGATTGTACTTTATTTCAGCCACGCCTATAATCTTGCTAAGTATTAGAGAAATTTGTCGACCGGGCTGTAATGTTCAAGCCAGTTGCGTGCTTAGTCCGCGAAGTTGGCATGGCTTTGCAAGCTAGAAAAGTTCAGTCTTCCTGCGGGTCGTGATTCATTAACCGCCTTGTCACATTTTAGAGAAAGACACCATGCTGTTCATACCAAGACACGATGCTTATTGCTTAGTCCTTCTCTCGTTCCAAAGTTTCGATTAAGGACTTAACAATTCAAAGGTAGGAGGAGAACTCCACCAGTGGCGAGGCGAGAATGGTCTATTTTCGATATTTTCTCATTTTAAGCTATGGTAAAGAATCAATTTTTTAGGTATTCGTTGCGAACTCCTTGTTTATCGATCCTTCTCAATAGGTTTAAATGGTAGATCAATCGACATATCGCAAAGCACGCCACGCCACTAAACTTCCCAAGGATGAACCTCAGTTCAGACTCCTCCTTTTTGTCTGTAACATCATACGAGTATGGATTTCGCTCAAATTCATCTTATGATGTTTCACCGCATAAGATTCAAATTCGATAAATGAGCGGAATTGGTCTTTGACCGAAGATACTTCGTTATGAGAAAAATCTAAGCATGAGCATGTTAAAGGAGTATTTTCATGTATTTTTTGCTGAAAAATAAAAAAATGACTAAAGTTTTTTCCCCCGGCACGAATATTTTTCCGGAATTTCCCTCTACGCGATGAAGGAAAACTGATGTCACATTCAGCCATTTCACTAAAAATTCATCAGAATTGATGAATTATGAGATATTTGCCTCTCAGTGACTGGAGAGCTATATGGTAGTTTTTGAAACACTGGAGAGTTTTCTGTCAAAGTATCAATTTTTTTTTAAAATTCAGTTCTATTGTGGGGGTATAATCAACAGTGCCTATAGGACCTTAGGGCTCTGGACTACAATATGCAGTTCGACAAAAATGTACATATCGTTAGCTTTGCCTCCGTGGCCAGTAAGTCCAAGTGAGATCCCTGTTTCCGGCGACGATCACGTTTTAACATAAAAATAATACTGGTCTATTTTCAAGTGCCTAGAAGCATTACGATTATTCAAATAAATATGAAGTATAGTTAGCCTGAAACGTACCTACGCGAGTAATTTGATAATTTCAGAAAACAAGTCAAAACCGCTTATTTTTAACCTTGATTCAGCATAAACCAAATCATGTTTCACCCAACGCGGGCAGTACCGCTCAATGTGACGAACCCTTGAGAGAGGCAGGGTATGAGATTTTTGACTGAAATCGCAAATTTTTACATACTTATTCTGTGAAATTTTCAGTTCCTCAGGTGCGTCTTACAGCAAATTTCACGAGAAAACCAACTAAACCATTTTAAACATCTACGTTTTGTATTTTAACGGAGATATACGCATTTAAAGTTTTCATACCATTTATCCCTGGTAAAAATTGACGATAGGAGCTGCGTTTCAAAATACCGTAGGAGTTCTTAAAGCCGACTGAAGAGGGCCATAGAAAATCATGTAGCTTGCTGTAGAAAGTGGAAAAAATCATACGGCCGGGCTACACGAAGCGATAAAAAATTATACAGCCGGGCTATGGTTCCTATCGCCGGGCTTTACACTTTATCACCTGGCTGTTGCTTTTTCGCAATCGGCTATAAAAGGCTATAAGAAATTGAGTAGAAATTCTTGTGCTTTGTAAATCCTTAATTTTGTACGGAATCACTTTAATGTTTACAAAACGCACATTATATTTTCCTTTACTACATATTTTTTTTTCATAAATTAAAATGAGAATAATCCATACAGAGTGTGCAATCATTTCAAAGTCATGAGTTGAAAAACGCTGACTCCACGAGATTAAATATAAGAGCCTAACACAAAGCGGAGCGGCGGCGCACCGGCGCCTACAAACCTAACAGGGATACTTCACGCATTGCGCAATGCGTGAAGTATCCCTGTTAGGTTTGCAGGCGCCAATGCGCGTTCAGCGCTGGCTGCCCGCCCGCCCGCCGCGCCGCAGCGTGCCACGGCGTCTGAAGCAACTATTTCACACCAGAGGTATTGCACAGTATCATAAGAAATTGAAGGCGCTCCAACATATTAAGAATGACAGGCATCCTTCAAAAGTACGGAGCTTTCCTCGCAAAATAAATCAAGATACTACGGCACAAAAAGAGAGCGGTAGTCCAAAAACTAACTAAGTAAGTCCTGGTATCCGTATTTAGTAACGTTTAGTATAAACTTTATCGTCTGGCTGTTGCTTAATCGCCATCCGCTGTAAAAGGCTATAAGAAATTGTGTTGCCGGCGACAGAAGCTATTGGAAATCTTACAGCCGGTTGTAGGTCTGTGGGATTTTGGAACACAGATTCTACTGCCAAGTTTTACCAGGGATGTCCGACCGCTCCCTGACTCGTTCGTGTTTGCGCCACACCGCACAGTATATCGAGTTTATAGGAGAGGTCGGACAAAATTTGGAAACACTAAACGCTCATAACTCCGTTTATACAAAACTTCGAGGTTCTAAAAGTGGTTCCATTGGTTTCATCGTGAAATTATATTTCAGAAGCATCCTTTAAAATTTAAAATGTGACAAATAAACATCAAAATTTGCAACGCTTTGAATATTTAAAAAAAAGTGCAAGCATTGTATCGAGCGATATCGTACCGAATTCATTTTTGTGAGTAGAATTGTATTGTTTCTCAAGCAGAATGACAACTTCGTGGAGCTGTTATGATCGAAGGCGTCTCTGCTACCTGATTAAAAAACCGAGTAAAAAGCACGTGCGAGTATGACTGATAATTCCGTCCCGCTTCCTATGCGTCAAATGACAGGTTGTCCCACCCCAGAATTATCAGCGCTGTTTCCAGTTCGATATCCTGAACATATTTAAAGGAAGGGGGGGCTCAAGATACGTAGAACTTAAATTGACAGTTGAAATTTAAAAAATAGCACAGAAAAGATACTTTACCTATAAAGAGTTAATGATTTGTATGCAATCCGAGGGAAATTTTCATTTTTGACGCCGCAACCCGTAAACAAGGCTATCATACCCAGTGTCACAATATAGCAACTTCTCTCTACTCTACTTCACTTAAACCTCCTCCTTTGAAGTGTGTTCCTTACCTTGGAATCTAAATTTACACAGTAGTGCCAGTGCAGTATCGTTCTTCGCTGTTGGAGCTAAAAGTACCATTCTTTGGTGATATTTACTTGAGTTGACGCTGCTAGAAACAAATACAACACATTTATCAGTTTATCCGAGTGCCCCCCCCCTTCCTCCTCCACAACAATTCGTAGAGGAAGGAGAAGGAGGAAGAGAAGAGGGAGGAGGTCAGGAAGAAGAGGAAGGTGAAAGAAAAAAGGGGGAAAAGGAGGAGGAGATTAGGGTGAAAAGGGAGGAAATAAAGAGGATAGGAAGAAGAGCGGATAGAGGAAAAGGAAACGGAATAAACATTGGAAACTCATAATATTAAATATATTAAAGAAATGTTTCGGCTTCCACTACACGGTTGGTACCACACACTGGATCGAGTCAATTGGAGAGGTCGGACAAGATTTGGAAACCTTATAAGCTTATAGCTCCGTTCATGCGGCAATTTGAGATTATAAAAGTGGTTATATTGGCTTCCTCGTAAAATCTCCTTACAGAGACCCTCCTTGAAATTTAAAATGTGTCGAATTATACTTCAAAATTTGCAGTTTTAATCAAAAATTCCATGTCCGACCTCTCTTATTGACACGATCCACTGTGCGCCGCGTGCAAGTGCGTATTTTCTGCGCCCCTCACGACGCACAGTGGATCGAGTTAATCAGAGAGGTCGGTTATGAATTTTTTGAGTAAAACTGCAAATTTTGATGTTTATTTTGTCACATTGTGACTTTTAAGGGGTGTTTTGAGAAGGAGATTTCACGAGGAAACCAATGGGCTCACTTTAAAACCTCAAAATTTCGTATAAATGGAGTTATAAGCTTTTAAAGTTTCCAAATTTCGTCCGACCTCTCCTATTGAATCGAGCCACCGTGCGACGGGCCTGGACCGCGTTGCTGCGAATGACAATAAAATAATTTCTCTCCGCGGAGAACGTGGATCAGCCATCAGCGTCGAGATGGACTCAAATTAGTTTCGGACGCGCAGAAGAAGGCGAATTTCTGAGAAGTGGACGGTTCGCGCTGGAGAGGGGGAGCCAATGAGAATGCCATAAGATCATAGGAAAGGGAAGACCTTGACGGTGTTATGTCGCGTCGTGAGTCATTCGCCGCCAATCTCTAGTGATGCGGTCCGAAATATATTTTTCGGCAAACAAACACCAGGTCTGCCGCGGTAAAGAAGAACGCCGTATGAGCCTTGATACGTTGTCGAATTTCCTTCGATAACAACAGGATTTACTGGGAAATTTGTTAATATTTGTTTCCATAATTTTCGGACAGTTTTGCACGCATTCAATCCAAAATGTATGAAAATTTCACGGAAAAATATACTTAAATTGAGTCAAAAATATATGTTTTTTTTTCAAGGGAAACTTGGCAACTCTCGAATGTTCACACGGCGTTTTTCCTTAGCCAGCACGGCAGCATAATAGACTGATTTAGTGGCTGCATCAATCGTTTTAATAGCTGTTCGACAGTCTTAATGTAAAAAGATGTAAATCCTCGTTGTATGTATATTCTTGCCAGGGTGATGTCTAAGTTCTTAGAATAAAAAGGTCTTCCTAATAATTTTATTTGATTTCCTGCTTTTTTTTCTGTTCCAGATTACATTCATGATTACGTTGAGCACTATGTCCACTCCGCAGCCAGTATAAATGATCAAAATATTGAAGGTTAGTGGAATAAAAATTGACTGAATGTCAAGAGGGATATTATCTAAAAAAATCAGCAGACTTTGATTATTTTGTAATTTTTGAAGGTTGGAGGGTTTCTCATTTCAAAATAAAGAGTCTGTTTGGTGCGCTACTATAGGAAAGTAGAAGTTACCGCACCTCGGTAGATCTCCGTAAGTTCACAAGAATGTAAACATCTTGCAAGCTACTCAAAAAGAAGAGTCGCTCATAAAACTACGAGCTAAAGAGGCCGTAGCGCCTTCATTTTTTTCCTATGCAACGCGCACAACCATAGAGCCTGTATAGTTGTATCAAGGTATTTTACTCGTACTTTTATCGCTATCTCAACCAGATCAATCAAGGTATCAACAGAAGGTATTTTCTCCAGACTTCTTGAAAGTATAATCCTTTTATTTCATTCTAATATGCGAATTACATACTTGCTGTACTAAAACAGAACCATAAGATAACAAAAGCGCGATTGAAATCGACGAAAAAAAATAAATATTGTAAAATTGAAGCCTTTTCCACCACTAATTGAGTTTTATAAACATCGGAATTTTCTATTCACATCAATGTTTTCTTTGTTACAGAATTGCTCAGAAATCTTTATTTGTTGGTAGCGTGTACGTTAATTATTTCCGTCATAGTATTGGGCACCGTTGTGGGAGCGTTAACACTTTACTACATTCGGTACCGAAAACGAACACATCAACACTTGGAATTTGAAGAGAAAGCTTATCAAAAGAAACTTGCCACAGCTCAGGTAACATTTAAACCACACTAGAATTTCTTCCATAGCCAATCACATCATCATCACATCTTTGTCTAATTTCCCTAAATAGTTTTTGAACAGAGAAAGAAAGAGGACGTCATGAGGAATTTTAGCGTCTCTACTGGGGAAAAATGACTCTTTTGCTAGGCGCTAGAATGACATCACTTAGATTTTGGGTAGGACCGAGACCTAACTTCGCAAAACCAGACTCTTATCCGAGCAGAGCTGGACTGGTATATCATTACCTACTGAAAGTCTAGATGATGCTTTTTTACCTAGGTACTTTCAAGACCTATCTCTGTGTGGACGATGCCTTTCATTTATAAGAAAATAACGAAGAAATTATGAATAAGAATAAACATGAATGTGGTCTAATGATCTTAATATCCGCCGCCGCGCCAACCGCACCGTGTTCGGCGCAATGCGTGAAGTATCCCTACAGTCTTGTAGGCGCTATGCGTTTCACGCTGACCGCTACTGACCAAGTGACCGCACTGTTTTTGACGCAATGCGTAAAGTATTCATGGAGTCTTGTAGGCGCTAATGTGTGCCATGCTGTCCGGTGCGCCGATAGGGCTTCTCCTTTCCATTCAAGTTCTCGCCATCATTGCTCTCTGCGCCGTGCCGCTCCAGGCCAAATTGCGTGTTAGGTTTCTCTCTTAACTTGACTAATGAAAGGCGCTGTCTCTTGAATCTCCGAAAGACGAACAAATTAGAAATTACTATACTTTAACTCTCAGGAAATGAGAGATTTTTTCGCCTTTCCTCATTCGTGATTTTTTTCCTGAATCGGATTTTTTTCTTGATACCTACATTTGAAAAAATTACAACATTTGCCCCCCCCCCCTAAATTTGCCGCCATGGGCCGCGGCCCATGTGGCCACCCCCTTAATCCGGCCTTGCGTAACATAGCCGCCCTACATAGCCCGTTAGTACAGCTTCCACGGCCAGAGTTTTTTTCAGTATGCTTACTTTCTATGCCCCAAATGACAGGCTCACTTAAGACAACTCGCAAGAATATGTGCTAATCGGTGATTTTTTTCCGATTACAGTATGTTTCAACGATCAATAACAACCGGAATCCACCTGAGCCGGCAGCGACGACGACAACGACGACGTCACACAGCATAGCGCACAATCAAGTGGCCCCGATTTCGACGATCACGCCGATCCGGGGTGACCACCCTCTCCGACTGGACATGCCGGTCAACTCGCGGAGCTACCAGTCCAGCTTGAGCGTGCCCACCAACAAAACGGGGACACCGCCCAGCGCCAACACCACCACCACCTCCATCACCACGAAATATCCCTCCGAGGACAGGACGCTCGAGTACGTCTACGACAACCTGGCCCTCACCCCCTCCCCCGTCCTCAACAAAGAAACCTCCACTAGCCACAAAATTGAATCCCGGCTTTAACTGCAATTTTTAAAAATGTTATGAATTTTTTTCGTAATCGATTTTCGTCTGACCGTCCTCTGGGAAAGGGGCCTCAGCTTAAGGGGCAAGCCCTGAGTTGGATCGAGGAATCTGATTTTGACGGTAAACTATGTCGGTCTCTCTCTCTCTTTCTCTCTGTTAGTGCCCTTGAAGAACCACCTAAAAAAATTAGGATGAATCAATATCCTAGTTGTTTGAAGATGCGCGACGACGCTTATATGTTTGTATTAGCTGCCACTACTTTAAATTTTACCTCCTGGAGATGTTAAACAGCTAGCTGAAGAGATATTTGAGACCAAAGTTTGTGCAATCGAAATCGAAGTTCCCTTCCTTTTCTTTTAAAAAAAATGGATGACCTGCCGTTGAATGTGTCGACCCATCCTCCTAAAGCTCACGAAGAGAGAAAGAGAGAGAGCGACAAAATTTCGAGAGAACTGAAAAAATTGATGTTTTACGCTCATATTCTCACATGGGCGTTAGTCGCTAGATTCGGTAGTCAATCCACGTATGTGCCTACATTTAATACTCAACCAGACTCATCATGCTGTTTTTGAAATATTTTATTGCAACCTAAGGTTTCTTTTAGTTCTTGTTTAGTGTTTATGGGTAGATCTCCTCACTCGTTGAAAAAGGAAAGCGTACATAAGGATCAAGCTTGATTTGATTTTATGACACTTATTGTAGTTTTACTCGTGCATGTCTAAATTTGAGCGCAATAAAGTAACTGCATTTATGTAGTATGCTTTCCTTTTTTAGAAGTAAATAAACGAGGAATAATGATGAACGATTGGTGATTATAGTTCAGTATTATATTTTTACTTTGATTTGTTCTTCTCTGAAACCAATTTATGGGCTCAAAGCTGAGTAAGTCTTTCAGTGTACATTATTACTTATGAAAATGCACATTTGTAAATTAGAAGTTCAAAAATAGTTCGGAAAGTAAGTAGTTTTCTTTATGAAAAATTTAGGTAGGTAGAGTCAGTATGTATATTTACAAAAACCATTCGGTTGATTCAATCGAAAAAATTCCATACATCACATTCCATTGGTTCATAATTATAGGCGTCCAAGTTTTAAACAGTTGTAGAACTTTGACTAAAGGTGAATCCAAAGGGGGAAGGGCATAAGGGGCGCACGGTACTCCCCCCTTCCGTTCGCCCGAAAAAACCCGGGAACACCCTCAAAGGGTAAATTCTACTTCCGCTAAACACCCCCCTCCCCTGCGGGTGGGGCTAAGGAAAAATCCGACCCCTCATTCAACATGTCCGGATCCGCCGATGACTTTAACTTGACAACACTGTTGAATTTTATTGTGAATTTTCAAGTTATTTAAGTCTTAACTAATTACTAATAAGTATTTGTTTTGTTATTTATTATTTTTTAGTTTGAAGTTGATGAGTTAAAGAAAAAATCCTCATAGGTACTTATTTCCCAGTTTAGAGCTGAAATAAATGAATTCAATGCCCATTTTTTTTTTTTATATTTCATATTTTCAAGTGCCTGGTTTAAAATAAATTGACTTTTCACAAATAAGCAGCACTCAAGTGCCTGTTCCTATAATATCCTTACGATTTTAGTTATTTTACTAATTTGTTAATTGGTGCCTTTTTCAATGTAAAGTCGGAAAAAACGAAAGGAAAAAAATTGTTAATAATGGCGATGCATGAATTCCAGGCCTCACTCTCAGTCATGTGACACATCTATCCGTTCTTTATTAGAAGTCGCCACTGCGTCTGGCTCTCGACTATTTTCGTATTCAAATAGTATTATTTGGGCACTGAGCAATACATTTTGGTTTAAGTTTAGGATTATAATATTAGTACATGCAACAGCTGTGATCACCTATCCCTGTAAGGTGGGTAAAAGGAATTATCTTTTTTTTTTCTTATTTATTTATTTTTTTATTTTTCTTTTAGGTTTTTGATCATCTTAGTTTTTACTTGTAATTATAGACTAATTTTCCAGGTGAAGATTTTTTAGCTTCAATGAGAAACCGTCGTTTGCCTAGAAAAAAATTTATGCCTAATAAGCTTGACCCTTCTTAGCCACCTTTTTCATTTTCACACACACGCACACACCAATCTCATGGTAACGCAACACGTGGTAAACGTGCCATGTTAATACAACTGATGTAGCCATATTTACGAAGAGTATTGTAATATTAGGCAAGCAAAAAATGAATCAGGTAATGATTCTGGAGGGTCATTTATAGCATTAAAAATCGACAGATTTTTCCAGCTGATGTATGAAACTTTTTGCAGGAACTGCTTGTTTTACTTGAGTTTGTGTCTCGATCAAAGATCTTAAGTGGTTTTCAGTCGAAGCAGGAATGGTAAAACTCATTGTCATCACGATCAGAAAATTCTATACCTTTAGAAATTCTAGTTTTTAATTAAGTAACGTGTAAAACTTGAACTTTGAAATATAATGAGGAACTGACAATATTCATGAGTACACTGTTTATTGAAATTTTTCATTTGAATGTAAGGAATTTTTAAAAAATGAACATTTATTTCCTCATGGTTTTTCTATTATTTTCAAGCTTTTCAGTCTCCCTGCTATTTTGCCACTCTTGAAACAAAAGACTGTAATTTTAAGACCGAGTAATTGAAGGACGATCGTTACGTCAACTCTCAGCCTCCTTTTTTTTGGGTTCGGAAATTCATTTAAATTTTTCTCACCTCCTCTCCCTCAATTTCATTTTAAAATAAAACAGGAGCTCTTTTGCAATAAGTGGAAGCTGAATTTCGATCATCTTTTGTCAGTTCCCTGTATTTATTTCCATTTTTTTTATATATTCAATTGTTGAGTGTAAATATTTTGTAAATAATTCGTTATTGAATCAAATTGTTAGAACATTGAACGTCTAATGATATAAAACCCTTGGTCAGTATAATCCGTCCATTAAATTTACTGCAACAAGAGTATTATATTTTTTGATAAGTGTAAGTATCACTGAGATTCATTGTTAATTTTAAATGTTTCATTTAATGTATTTTCTTCAACTGCTGTACTATTTTAATACATTTTTTTAATATTACTTCAATCTAACGTTTTTTCTTTATAGTAATTTGTAAACTACCCCAATAAATAACAAAGTTTTTAAAATGATTGCTGTTCTACTCGAACTTTCTGGGCCTATGCAATCCTGCGGACTCCAGGTTCACCATAACAGTCAGGTGTATTAGAGCCCATCGAATCATACAATGCTTCATCTAGCTACAAGAGATTAACTAAAGCCTCTAAACAAGTTTTTAGTGTGAATAGCTCTATATTTCATCTTAATGATCAGAGGCAGGCTCAAAACACTAATTGCAGAAATGCGTATCTCGTGATCAAGTGTCAATTCTTAATGCTGAAAATGCAAGTGCCGGATTTCTGCCGTATTTTCCAACAGTCCGAAAAATTATTCAAAATGCTGTTGGAGTCCAAAAAAACATCTTATTCTTGCTATCCTTAAAAATTATTTCCCTTCTAATGACAACAGGGAGTAATGTAGACAGTTCAATTGCTCTCCTGAAAAATCGTGTTTTCCGAGATACACACTTCTGCAGTTTCACCATCGATATGTTCTCCTATTCTGCCGTGCTAAGGAAAAACGTCGTATGAACCCTCAGGCAATTTTCTGGTAAACTTATGAATATTTGTTTCCAATTTTCCAGATAATTTTGCTCGCAATTCCACCGAAAAGTCTTGAAAATTGCAAGGAAAAACATTCATAACTTTCTTCGAAAATGAACATTTCATCGAGGGAAATTTGGCAACTCTCGAATGTTTATACGGCGTTCTTTCTTAGCACGGCATTATTATGCAGGTCATTCGTTTTTTTACACACTCGTATATATTATTATAAAATAAACTTACATTAAAATGTCAGTAGTGTACCATCATACTGAAAAAAACCATTTTTATGATCGCCTTTCAAGGCCAACATCAGGTTTAACATTTCTCTGACACTCGTTGCGGTGCTGATTTTATACTGATCATTTAACTTTGCTGTTTAGCGAGTATCCACGGTACCCGGGTAAATGGATTCAACCAGTATGCACTCCTTCCTGACGACTAAGCTCATGGATTGAGTGGCCACATTCAATGCCCCTGGTAAAAATTGGCGATAGGAGCTGCGTTTCAAAATACCATACGAGTTCTTATAGCCGACTAAAGAAGGCTATCAATAATCATATAGCTGGCTGTAGAAAGCGGAGCAAATCATATAGCCGGGCTGTACGAAGCTATAAAAAAGTATACAGTCGGGCTATAGTTCCTATCGCCGGGCTTTACACTTTATCGCCATTGGCTAGGCTATAAGAAATTGTGTAGAAATTCGTGTGCTTTGGAAATCATTAAGTTTGATACGGAACTACCTTAATATTTACAAAACACACATTATATTTTCCTTTAAAACATATTTTTTTTCATAAATTAAAATGAGAATAGTCCATACAGAGTGTGCAAACATTTCAAAATCATGAGTTGAAAAACTCTGACTCCGCGAGATTTAATATTAGAGCCTAACACAAAGCGGAGCGGCGACGCACTGGCGCCTACAAACCTAACAGGGATACTTCACGCATTGCGCAATGCGTGAAGTATCCCTGTTAGGTTTGTAGGCGCCAATGCGCGTTTCGCACTCTCTGCCCGCCCGCCGCGCCGCAGCGTGCCACGGCGTCTGAAGCAACTATTTCACATCAGAGGTATTGCACAGTATCATAAGAAATTGAAGGCGCTCCAACATATTAAGAATGACAGGCATCCTTCAAAAGTACGGAGCTTTCCTCGCAAAATAAATCAAGATACTACGGCACAAAAAGACAGCGGTAGTCCAAAAACTAAGTAAGTCCTGGTATCCGTATTTAGTAACGTTTAGTATAGACTTTATCGTCTGGCTGTTGCTTAATCGCCATCGGCTATAAAAGGCTATTAGAAATTGTACAGCCGGCTACAGAAGCTATTGGAATATTACAGCCGGCTTTAGGTCTATGGTATTTTGGAACACAGATTCTACTGCCAATTTTTACCAGAGGCAGCCTAGAAAGTAAAAACACAATGAAAAGTAGAAAATTAAATCAATCTTACTAATGACTAGACAGCCGCAAAGATTGCTCAATTTCTTTACCGAGCTTCTGAAATCCCGCCAAAGTATTTTAGTTTTGACAAACTGGTACAGATATTGATGGTACAACTAAAAAAATATGGGTGCCCGAATGTCGTAATTATTTCCACTCATATACGTAACCGCCCCCTTTAAAAATATTAAACTAATTCATTTTCTTGCATGGCATATTTAGACAAACATGTTAAATAAAAAGTTAAGTACAGGGATATCATGCAAAATTTTTCGAAATAAAAATAGATCGGTTTTCTTGCATTATAAAGACACTCTTGTAATGATTTACCTTACTTATTTGGATAAAATTTAGGTAGGTACTTTTATGAAAAAAAAAAAAAAAAAAAAAAAAAAAAAAAAAAAAAAAAAAAAAAAAAAAANAAAAAAAAAAAAAAAAAAAAAAAAAAAAAAAAAAAAAAAAAAAAAAAAACATCCCATGTTACCGAGCAGAAAAAAATGATAAGACTGAGTTAACACGATAACTTGATTTCCCTAATACTTTTTACGCCAAACGGATAAGGAACTAGATATTTTCCGAACTCATACTGTAATTAATGATTATTCAGCTATCACCTGTCATTAGGAAAAACATATTCAGAGAATTCACTCGAGATAAAATTCGAATAAACCGGAACGGGGTTAATAATTTTAATAAGTGTATCCGGGTTTATCTCACACTCAAAATATTTAAAAATATATTTTTTAAGTCATCTGGATTACGCATAAGCAAGGAAAGTTGCCATCGAGAGAGTTGATTTGAGGTGGTTTCATATGTACCCGTACTCTCCGAGGGATCAAACATTGCAATGTACCATTGCAAATCATAGAGGAAAAAAAAAGGAGGTGTTTGCATATTGAGGTTTGTTTACCCTGTGACGTAGGTCGGTACAACCTGGCCAGCGAAATCCGGAATTCGAAATATGAAAAACGGACCATAATGTCCGATTTTTTTACTTAAATCAACTCATGATATAATTTCAATCACTTTTTATAGAATGACTTTTTTCCATAAATTACACCATTTCCAAGAAAATCGATGATAAACTTCGCTGTACCGACCTACGTCATCAAAATAATTCCAAGATGCCCGAAATGCAAACACCTCCTTTTTTTTCTCTGTGATTCCAAGTAGCCGGCTACACAAATTAATGTGGTAATTGCCGCTTTGACCCAGCGATCTGAAAACTACATATATTAGGTAGTGTGTAGCATCGAAAACTAAATTTTTTATATCAAGGTTGATTTTTCCGCTGTAGTTAACTATTCGAGTTTTTATTTGAAGGGCAATTCTGCCTGAATTACAGCCCCTCTCTTTTTTGAATTAAACAAATTAACATCAGGGCAAAATTGTGTGCTCCTTTCGTACTAAGAGTGCTTTGTACCCCAATCAGGTAAACAGCACCCATCATTGAATGGACTGTGGCAATGCTAGTCTCCCCCTCCCATTTAATTTCATCAAAAAAATACAGGGAGGGGGAATGTGTACTAATTTTTTACTATTTTATGCCGCAGAGGAAAAATTAATATTTGAAAAGAAGGGAGGAAAATTGGAATCTCAAAATTTGGAGGGAGTTTATTTGGAATTTGGAGTTTCGATATGAGGCGACTCGCATTAAAAACCCCTTATACAGAAATTCTGCAACATATAGTATGCAAGGGCGCCACAGGCCGTGAATCTAATTTGCTTATATTTTATTGCAGTGTACGGCTACGGATATACGGAGAGCTATGGCGTATTGCACGCTTGCATACTAAGTTGCAGATATCGTGTTTGAAGGCGTTTTTAATATGGGTCATTTCGTCTCATGTTGAATGTCGGCTCGCAACCGCGGTGCGGGGGTTTGAGGTGGCTGACTTTATTTGCTTGGGATTGCAGGAAACAGTATACAGCTAGTTTTACTTCCATACAGAAAAATTTCTGGTTGGGAGTTCATTTTTCACGAATATCAATGCTAAAAAGGCGTGTGCCTTTATTTTATTCCCATTTACCATGTTGGTAAATCTTGCCAATGGTTACATTGGCCAGCAAGAGTTAAATTTGTAATAGTTTAGGATCATAATCGGGGTGTAATTAGACGGATTTAACCAGAGTCAGAGTTTCATCAGAATAATCGGACGTTGCCTAATATTCTCCATTTTTTTTTTAAACAAGAAGCCCAAGCAATATTAAGAATTGAAATTTTGTAAGTTTATTCTTCATAATCTAGGGTAAATTCATGGGACATTTAACAACGCCAAGTCAGTTGCCCGGTTTGCTTTGTGATAAACTGATTGATCTGTCATTTAAACCAATGGAAAAAAATCAATAAATAGGGTATTTGCAACGGACACCTTAATAATCAACCTTTCAAGGTTCAACTGGGGAAATATCGATATTCCACCATTCACGCCACGCCACTGCGTCAAGTAGTTTATTGCTGTATTAATAAAGTTAAAAATGAGAGAAAATTGGGCACCGAAAATGCATTTGGGCCGATTTCGGTTAAGACCGTCTACTTTTAGAGCTAATTCCAAAAATGTCAATGCGATCAGTCCGGGTTTGTCCTTGCCGGGAGAATCAAAATCTCCCCCAAAAGTCGGGTCATTTCAAGAGATATTAAGTCATT